TGCCCAGCCCTCTCCTAGCCCTGGATGGGAGTTCTGTGAGCCAGACCAAGGCCTGCAGGGCTGAAGGACAGGTTTGAGAATGGAGCTGCCAGAGTGTCTGTGGGAGCCAGGGAGGGAGTGGGTTGGGTTACCCTGAGGCAAGGTCTGGGGAGACCTCTTATCGTGCAGCCAGTCACAGGCTTGCCTGTGAAGTATACTACAAAACTAACAATCTAGAATGAAAACAGTGAGGATAAAAGTAACTTAAGCTGAGCTACTGAACCCAGCAACCTCAATACGCCTTCCTGTGTGGATGCTCCCAATGGCTGACTTCTGGATCCACTACAGAATTCTTGGCAAGTTCATGCCCCTTACCACTCCCAATTGTGCTACTGGAGCTTTCGCCACTGTGAGCACCACTCTCGCCACCACCACCATCACTACCCACCATCACCATTACTTCCTCCACCACCCAGTGCCACCGTCACACCAGCCCTACCACCATCTCCACCATCATACAGCTGGGCTGGACTCAAAACCAGGTCTAGCTGCTTGTGCTTTTACAAACTTTTCTTTATCACATGAGCAGAGAACGTAAAGAGCAGAGTAAAAACCTGGTGTTTCTTCTAAAAACACAGGGGGTGGAGCATGTCACAGGATATACTTCACTACTGACCATTTTCATTAAACACAGGCACTCGAGGACATGCCTTCCCGAGTCAGCCCTGCAAGAGTGTCCACTGGGCAGCAAAGGGCCCAATCCTCACTCTTCTGTGAAGATGCCCACCTCACCCACTGCCGGGATGCCAGAGAGAGGAGGAAACCATCACTGACACAAACAGAATTGTAGATTTTTCAGGGAAAAGACACTTGACTTCCAAGGAGCTTTTTTTCTTTTTCTTTTTCAGCTGATGCCCTTTTGGGGTCCATGGAGAAATGAGTAAGTAAATAAGATCCTAGAAGGAGGGAGTGAACAGAACCACATCTGAGGGTTGGCAATTTAAGACAGGCTTCTGCCTTCCTAATAAGACAGAATTTCATTTAGTTTTTAAAAAATGCTTTACACTCAGTCTCAATTACTTTTCCCAAAGAAGGGGCAATGCTTTCAAGATCTGGCAAGTAACATATTCCATTCATGTCCCCAGGACTTGGTAATTTCTGCCATGTGAAGACAGACATTCCCAGATGATCTGGAATCAGTGTAAAATTCATACACTAATGATAATGCATGCAAAATGTGCATGTTTAGCCGCATGTTAATGAATCAAAAAGTGTTGTCTGAAAATAAGTTGAGGGAATTGTTTCTTTTACGAGAAACTACTTAGAAGATAGTCTCTCTAAATCTGAGCTGTTTACAATTATTAGATTTAAAAACTTTTTTGTGATTTTAAATTTCAAAGCTATTTGCATCATTACTTCACCTTGTGTTTCTTTTAAAGCATCTTATCTATGTTGTGAGCACTAGTGTCAAAGCTAGGTAATATAATGAATATATCCACATATCCATTTAATTGTACATAAATAAAGGGCAATTTGTCATATAACATAAAAAAATTTCAAAGCTAACTTTTCTATAAAGTTAAAATGCCACAAGTTATTATTTATTAATTATAAAATTAAAATATGAAGGAATATGCTAATAAAGGTAGAATCAATATAATTACATCAGGCCTGGGTAAAAAGCAATAGCTGTTTTCACATAAAACATCACCACAAAAATGTCCTAAGAGTCACTTGGTTATTTTTCAAGTTGTATGAGGTGGAGACTCAATTCACTCTTATAATACAATTAGCTTTAAAGAAGTTACTATATATTTCTTAGAGGAAGATTCACTTTAAGTGAAACTTTGAACTTCTTAGGGTACACATTTTATCCCTGCAATACTGCAGCAAGAGTCTTCCCTCCAAACAGGATGCACCAAGTGTTTAACACATTAATTATCATCCTTCATCAAGCATAAAACTAACAGTCAGGAAATACAGCTGCAATGGCACAATTACCAACACACTCAGAATACACCCTGAAGCAAAGAAAACAAATGGCTTGCTTTTCATTAACAGAGCTTGGCAAGCCTCTCCAAAGACAATGTTTTCTTTCCAGTCAGAGTCCCAAAAGGCATTTAAGGGGCTATTTGCTTAGGTAAACCCAGAGAACAAATTAATCGTGAAAACGTTTATTTAAATTTCAAAATAGCCATTATCAACATAAGGTGCCATTCAAAAAATATACATGTTAAAAGATGACTTGATAAAATAAAAATCTGATAAATATAGGACATGTATTTAAAAAACGTGGTTTAAGAGGGTTGAGAAGTCAATATCTTTAGACTTGATCATTTTACATAAGGTATTTATGGTCTTTGTTTTTATGTTTTGTAGCAGATAATTTGATATGCACATGCCTCTATCTATAAAATAATGAGACATGTACAACAGGATTCAGTTGTGTTTTTCAGATTTTCATCCAATGAAATAATTAGCTATCAGCTTGAGATTCTAATATGTCATCACTGAAAGCCAAGATGAATAATATTCTAGAGAGATAGTAAAAGAACTGTTTATTTGGTTGGTTTCTGGACACTTATTCTTTTTTATTTTTATTTATTTATTTTGGGTACTGGGGATTGAACTCAGGGGCATTGGACCACTGAGCCCCATCCCTGGCCCTATTTTGTATTTTATTTAGAGACAGTGTCTCACTGAGTTGCTAGTGTCTCACTTTTGCTGAGGTGGGCTTTGAACTCGTGATCCTCCTGCCTCACCCTCCTGAGCCACTGAGATTACAGGAGTGCACCACCATGCCTGGAGACACTTATTCTTTTTTTTTAATATTTATTTTTTAGGTGTAGATGGACACAACACAATGCTTGTATTTTTATGTGGTGCTAAGGATCCAATCCGGGTCCCACCCGTGCTAGGCGAGCGCTCTTCCACTGAGCCACAATCCCAGCCTGAAACTTATTCTTAATATTATTATAACATCAATATACTTTAATGATGTAGCGCTCCTCCTAATATATTATAATTAATCTATGAGCTATCACTTAAACCAAAACTTAAGGAAGGCTCTGGTGATATAAAAGGTAATGGAAACTCCTCTGCCCAGAGTGGACTTATGACCTGAACCATGGCTGTCAACCTTTCCCTAAATTCTCTGCTCAGAGATCCTCTGATGCAATCAGGTTGGTTCTCTCTGCAGGATAAAGAGCAGGATGAAAATTGAAGAGCTGTGTTTTCCTTAGCACAGAAAGCCAAGGATATACATGTGGGTTTTTTCATTCATGTAACAGCCTCAATCTCATGAATTTATGTTGTGCTTCATATGCAACTAACTCAAATATGAAGTTCGTTGGAATTGTGTTTAGGGTAGGCACCATTTCATCTTACAGTTGGTCAATTTATGTTATGTACAGTTGACTTTCAAAAGGCAAATAACCCTGGGTATTGTAAATAAAATCAAATCTGATTCCTCAATGTGCCTTATAGAAGAGTGATCCACGGGATTCTGCTCAGGCCTGTGTAAGAACTGCGAATGGCACGAGTTATCATTTTGACCCATCTGCCTTGGGGTGGATGGCTACTTTCTGAGGTGCTGAAAGCAGCAGTAAATCACAGAGTAGAAACACAGCCCTACTAACAACAGCAACATTGCCAGAGTAAAGACATCTGCTGCCTAACTGTGTGCAAAAAATTTGGCTATACAAGGGAGGATACATACAATCTTTTGGTTCTCCTCAGTGAGACATGGTGGTGATCCCAGCTACTCAGGAGGATGAGGCAGGAGGATTGCAAGTTTAAGGCCAGCCTCAGCAATTTAGTGAGACCCTGTTTCAAAATATAAAGAGGACTGGCAATGTAGCTCAGTGGTAGAATGCCCCTGGGTTGTTCAATCCCTAATAACACACACACACACACACACACACACACACACACACACACAAATGTTTCCCCTTCACATATTTAATAGTTCACAGAGCCAAACAGAGCATATTCTGAATGTAATTACCACGCAGCAAGTCAGCACCAGTGAAAGGGAGAGGGGGGGAGTAGGTGTCCTGCCTAGAGTCAGGTCAGGTGTCTCACAGGGTAAGTAGATTTTCTTGGATTCCTCTTCCTGGGACTTTCATTTTCAGGGCAGGTCTTAAAATGTTTCCATCTCAGTACTTCAATAAGTGCGGATACACTATAAACATCTCAAAATCAATGAAGCATTTTAAGAAAAAGCAGCTTTTTAATGTTTTGATGTTACGGCAAGCAAGGTGATAAGACACAAATTGCCTAAAAAATTAGAAGCAAGGCAATTTCAAGGTGAACTTTTCTTTCAAAGATATGATCTAGTAACAAAGCACCCACTACTCTCTTAGCATTCTTAAAATCCTTTTGGAACCCAAATGCTTCCTTACCTTGATATGCATTCATCTCTAGTACCCATTAGAGAGCAAAACAATTCCGATTCAGTTTCAACAGTAAGAATCAGACAGTGTGCATGCATTCCTTCTGAATTGAGAAGACCTTGTGTCTAATGTTGCTTTTTCAGTTAGAAAAACTAGTACCAGTCTTATGGAAAAATCCAATTCTACATCGGATGGCACTCTCAGAATTAAAAAAAGGTCTTTTTCAGAAGAAGGAAAAAAGATATACCTTCTGAAGTAAGCATATTTGAATTTAATAATTAAAAAGTAGGACTGGGCGGGGGGTGTAGCTCATGGCAGAGCTTAGCTTGTGAGAGGCTCTGGGTTCAATTCCCAGCACCATAAAATCAAATAAAGAAGAAGTAATTGAGTTTCCCACAATTCACCTCCCAGTCATGTGAGTCCCAAGGTTCATTATGTTTTAGGACTGCAGTGGGCTATCATGGTACTAACTACAGATAGGGTAAAAGAGACTCTGCCAGGGATCACAGTTCTCTTTAACACTTGGGGTCTTTGAATAATAAACCTCACTGTAATGGACATTGCTAGTAATATAAGCAAAACTGGATTTTTCATAAGACTCTCTGGTGGTCTGTTCAGTTTTCCTACCTTCAGTGTAGTGAATTCATAGGGCTGATAACCTTTGAAGCTCTCATGGATGGCTGCCATCGTATGGGAAGTTTTCTCCCAAAAATGAAGCAGAGTGGTCTGTCAAGAGAGATGGTAAAGCTATTAATATTTCGAATGTGCAGTCCCAGTCCTGTGCCCCAGAGAAGGGTACCATCTGTCACTTTCCAGATCCTCTAAGATGTGATTCTGATGCTTTTCTACACTGAGTTTCCCTCTCTGCCCTGGGACACCTTGCATTTCAGCCAAAGTAAATGCGTCCCTGGCTTCTGCGGCTCCCACCACCTGGGACCCTCTCTCTCCATTCTCTTTCTCATTCAGTCTGTCCTCCAAAAGCCAGGGCTGGTCATGAATCTATTTTTGGGATCCCTCCAATGACTGGATTACTCCCTCTTTAAACCCTCTTTGGCTTTTAGAACTTTCTGCTTAGTGTCCCCTTTGTTCTGTCTAACAGGTTTAGGAATTATAGTCAGACCCTACTCTCTCCACTTTTCTTCTTAAAACTTTGTGAGCTCCTTGAGGACAAGGAACCTGGTCTTATTAATTTTATATTCCCTATAACACTCAGCATTCAGTCTCTCACACTCAGTTGGTGTCGACAGCACTGTTGATAGACACAGATGCTATCCTGAAGGAACTCAGAGGCTATGAGGAGAGACAAAAGTAAGTATGTTGAATTATGACAACCTAAGGAGGAAAGAAGGCCATGAGACATAGAAAGGACAGGGCTAAGGGAGACCAGAGGAGGCTTCCTGAAGAACTTGACGTTTGGTCCAGTACGTTGAAAAGAGCCGAATTTGGAATGACAAAGATGGAGGGGAAAGGTGCTGGAGGCAGAAAGGACTCCCCAAGTCAATACAGGGAAGGCAAAAATACAGTGTATGTACAAGGGAACAGCTACTATTGGACATGGTTTGATGAAACCGTGAGATGCTAGGAAGGCAGAGATGTCAGAAATAAATTATGAGAAAGGCTTTCAGAACTTACTAATTCCTAAACCATACTTTGAGCTCTAACATCATTTTTCTATTGTCTTAGCCTCATGCCACTCTTTGTTCATTGAGACAGACATCACTTTGTTACCTGGTATGTTGCTAGCATGTGAGACAAGAGGTTGCATCTGCTTGCTCCAAGAAGATCCACTTTTTGACACACATCCATCTTCAATTTGTCAAAATTCTTTTTTGCAAGGCGTACTTGTGTCTGTACCTATGAAAGTAAAAGGACATCTCTGAACCACTCAGACCCTCAAATAGTTAAAATTTGCAGGTGACAAAAGACCAATAGCAGGGCTTCTCTTTTATACCAGAATATGCCTTTGAACATTCCAGACAAATGAAAAGATCCTACAACATCCATTCTTTACTTCCAAAGGCCCAAATAAGAGTACTGAATATTATAATTTTACAGCCGACTTATCATTCTTATTACGATTTTCTTAAGACTAGTGTTAAAATTTATGCCTTCTCAGGGCATTTACAAATTAATCACAGGGGGAGAAGTCCAAGGTGGCATGGAATTAGTCTTTCCCTATGGTTTTCCCATAGTACTTGGAAGCTGGATTCCCATACATTCTTCTCTTAGCTTTCCCCAATGATAATATCTCACACAACACTTGTTAAAATGAAAGAAATCGTCACTGATACGTATTTACTTATTTATAGACTTTATTTGGACTTCACCTGTTTTTCCATGAATATCTCTCTTCTGTTTCAGGAGCCAATCTACGATATTACACTTTTGCCACAGTCTAAAAAAATTATCCTTACTGACAAACTCAATGTTTATTAATAGTAATGTACAATAACAATCTTCCACCTTTCCCTGCACCAAAGAGTAATCAAGGAGGGAGTGAAGGCCAGGAAAAGATTCACAAATATTAATTCTCTGCATTATTTCACAATAAAATAAAAAGTTTAAACATTTAATGCAGCTACTTGAAGAATTGCTAAGTCAAAAGTTCTCCTTCCTCCAATCCAAAGGTGTCAGCACATCATACTCTCACCAGGGAAAGCCAGCCAATTTTGTTTTACTGAGGTATGACTGATAAATAAGAAGCTGTAGCTATTTAATATATTCAACATGGTGAGTTAAAATATTAATTTATCTCAGGTAGTTCGTGAAGTTTAGATATAGGTGGGTAACAGAGTTGGAGGTAACAATGACTCATTGATGGTAAACCAGGTGGCATGGCCAGTATCCGTCATGCTCACCACCTGACAAGCTGATATGAAGCAGGTACACAGTACACACTTGTTGACAGAATGAGTAACTTTTCCAGGTCATTTCTAAGGGTTCATATTAAAGTATAATATTTGAAGTGGTTTTAGAAGTGGAATGTTTGAAGTCTTTTTAGAAGTGGTGATTTTATTTTCTTAAGAAAACAAGTAGATTATTTTTTAATAGAATACAATAATTTGTGTCACTAATACAACTACCACATTCTCAGCTTATCAAAGTATAGGGCATTACACAACAAGAGCCAAATTACCAATTAATACAACTGACTGACCACATGCCTTCCAACATTATTTTATTTTGGACATTCTGACTACTTTCTCTTACTGATGAAGACAGGCTTCACCAGGAAAGTAACTTAGGAGTAGGGCTGGCATCCTGAATCAGCCTGCCTGACTCCAATGTCATGCTACTCTGCCACTCAATCAACTTATTACCGCCTGGAAAATAAAACAAAAAAGCTTAATCCCTGTAGGATTCTATGAAACTGGAAAATAAGGAAGGGGTACATTTAATACCATATCAATAGAATTAATATCCTATATGACTAGAAGCTGTATGAGCAGCATCTATAGCTGTATTAAGCATTTCCTAAGAATTCTTCTGTATTCTCTCCATAGATCTGGGAAGATCAGAAAATAGCAGCCATCAGCTCCTCTGCAACTGCCCACACCATGAGCTCACACAATCCCGGTGCCCGATCATTCACCGCGGAAGCTTGCAGAGCTGTGGGAGCTTGGGAGCTACTCAGGAACTCTGACTAAAAAGAGTTTAAAATGAGCTAAGTATCAGGGATTTTCAACCTTCCTTGAAAAGCATGGGGGTGGGGAGAGAAAGCCCCGTTCCAGAGGGGAGGAGTGGGACTCTGAAGGGGAGGGACTTTCACATGTGCATTTGTTAAACGCTCACTCACTGAGTGTCTGTCCTGTGTCAGGACTAGTGCTGGGCACTGGGGTGGCAAGAAAGGATTAGACATAAAACAAGTGACCAAGAAATGTCTAGGAACAAATGCACCTTGCCATAAGGGACAGTATGTTTTAAGGAAGACAGTTAAGTCAGCAACTGTCATACAATGGTGGAACTATAACAGCAGAGCTAAGAGTGAGGAACAGAGAATGATTAATGCTGGTAGAGTTGGGGCGGCATTGGAGGGTGATGGCATTAAAGCCCCAAGTAATGTCCTTTCCGTATCCCTACCCTTTGCCTTGTAACTCTGTAGCCTCCTCCTGTGTGGAATCTGGGCTTGATGGTGATGGGCTTTGGCTAGCGAGAGCTCGCTAACAAAATGTAATGAAACTGGGAGCTTGAAAAAAAGCTAGCATGTTTCTACTTTCTGTCTTGCTTCTCTGACAGTGCCCTGAACGTAAGCCCAGCTGGCCATCTGGAGGGGTGTGAGAGATGCGTGCATGCAAGAGACATGAAAAGGAGAGCCCAGCTGTAGGGCAGCCCAGCCATTATTAACAGAGCCCCTACCTGGCCCATAGTTGACCACCAGCATGACTCCATGCACCTATAGGAGACCAGAACGGCCCTGCTATTCTCTAAATTTGTGAGCAATAAAAAGATGCGTGCTGTTTTGAGCCACTGCATATTATGGCTGCTTACCACATGGCACTGCTATAGCCAAAAATCATGGATATAAACAGTAAGGGAACAGACAATGAAGGCTTTGGGGATGAGGGGATATCTGTGGTGGACCCTAAAGCATGGCTAGGAGGTACTCTAAGACTTGACTACTTAAATGTGGAGGTTCTAGATTTTTTAACTAAATGCAAATTAACTGGCAGGGATGTGAATTTCACTTTTCCCTGTACATTAATACAATCAGTTACTCATAAAATACTCTTTTATCCTAGGGCAAAAAAACAAAAAAACTTCACTTGTTTATAACACAAAATTCATGTATTAATATAGTTTGAAATGTGCCCTAATTAAATTTTGATTGAATTTTGAAAGGTAGCTTAAGGAACCAAGAAGACAACTTCAACACTTGACCCAGTGAGTTCTGAAAGGCCATATGTTTTGTGTGTCAACAATGATTATTAAAATACTTAATGCACTGCTGAGTTTCCAAATGCTGAGCTCTCTCCCTGCCAAACAAGGAGGATGTTTCACTGTTGGGCATTTTGAATACGGTAAAATTTGTTTAATATTTTGTGCTCCATGTCTGTTCTATAAAACACATTTCCAGCCCGCAGCCCAAGGACAAAACACCAAGGACACCACCCAGCACAGGCCACCAACAAGAGTATAATTTCATATGCCTCCAGATGCACTTAAGTGAAAAATGTTTTGATTATTATTCCTCTCAATCCCAGATAAATTATATTCAATTACATAAACATCTTGAGGAGCTCCTGGGGTTTTCAAGGCTCTTTAAAAATTTTTTTCACTCAGATAAATGTACCCTTTGTTTATTTCTTCATTTTATTTCAGCTACCTCACCTGTCTCCTCTTATTCCCCAAACTAGGAAATGACCACGCATATTAGAGTCTCTTTACTCTGGGTCTTGCCTTCCCCAGGCCACAGAAATTCAATTTACTGGAGAAAGCAGCAATGTCTTTGACTGCCAAAACTACAGGGCACTTCTCTGTACTTATTCTTCCTAACCTGAAATTCTACCTCTTAAGCCCCAGCTTGAACTACACAGAGGGAAGCCAAAGGTATTCATCTTCTCAGTTCCTATCCAGTGGACAAGGTCTTCGTATTACTCTACAATCAAATAATCAGAGAGTACTTTTGCCTTCTCCTTAGTGCTTATTTCCGTTAAGAACAAAATAACACAAAATAATTTCATTTTTATATCTTCTTTCAGAAGATATCTCGGATCCCTCAATCCATTCATTAGTCAAATATTTACTGAGTATATTGTTTATGCTGATAGCAATGAGAACAAATGAAGATAGTCTCTGCCCTCCTGAGTCTGACAGTCCTGTGGATATTTTGATATTTGTGCAGATATCACTACAGGTTAAGTGAGATGCTCAGAAGAAAAGTCATACACTCTCACAAAATGATTGGCTAATGGTTCTGACTCAATGGATGTCCTCCAAGGACATGGTGCTCAACATGTAAGCTGAAGGACTAAGCATGATTAATGATGCTAGGGAAGAGAGAGAGAGAGAGAGAGAGAGAGAGACAGACAGACAGACAGACAGACAGACAGACATGGGGAGGGGGAACATGTGCAAAGGCCCCGGGTGGAGGAGAATAGGGCAAGTCCTAGAACTGATAGTAGGTTAATGTACCTCGGTTGCTGAGACTGCAGTAGAGTGGTATGAGATGAGACAGGAGAGGTGGGTTGGGTCACATTCTGGAGCAGGACCTTATTGGTATGCTCCGGATTTTAGTTTTGTCCTACCTAGAAAAATACTGTAGTCTCTTATTAAGCAAGGAAGAGAGAGGATTCTGTTTTCAGTTTGAAAAGATCCCTCATTGCACTGTGGAGATGAACTGGAGGAGAGAGATGAAGGTAGATAAGGAGAGATATGAAGTCAAGGGGAAAGACGATGGTGGTATTAGACTTGGGTAGTGATGCTGGATATAGAAAAGAATTATCTCATCTGAGAGATCTTTAGAGGGTGAAATGGGAACTGATGATGAATTAAATGTCGGAGATTTGGAGGAGGACTCCTATGTATCTGACATCCCAACGCCCACCTTATTGTTGAACTTGCCTCTCCTCCAGCTGATTCTACTCATACCCATTCTTGTGGCTATCCTCAGACCACAGCCGAATTCTTGGCTTGCTTTCCCAATCAGCCCTCAGCATTCCTCCCTCATGAACTTGATCTGTTCATTCCTATTTTCCTATGAGGCAGCATTCTCATTCAGAAAAAATTTAAGATCATAGGGGACACCAACTACTTCCTCTGTGGTAAGGGGCCACAAGAGAAAATCTAAGGGAGCACTCTGAAGTCACATACAAAAAAGAAAGGCAGATATGTGGCTTCATTAAAAGAAGATCTTT